GCAACCCTCAACTTTCTCGGGCACTTAGGACCATTTTTCAACCGTAGTTTTCAGCCCTTCTTCCCTCATATGAAAGCTCAAAGACCCAGGGAGTTGATCCTGGCAACGATTTACACCATTTTGGGGGCCAAAAAATCTCCTTTTTCAAAAGATACTGTGGGGGCACTTTTAATGCTAATGAGCTGGTCAGAAATTCTCACTTAAATTAGTGGTCTGCACCCTACAGTGCCTTGGCTCCTGTCAACGCTCGATGAACCTACTTTTCATCAACAATTTCCCCCGTTGGGTTTGGAGTCTGTGAGGGTTTTCTTCGAGATGGTAAAACAAACTTCAGAAACGGAGCCATGTACAATTGCAGCCTTTTGATTAAAAGTCATGCATATCAGAGGATTGGTGGACGCGTTCTTCATGTAGGCCTACATATTGTTTTGTATTCGTGCCGACATGCTTTGCCAGCTGCCGCACACGATCCAGCATTATGATCATGAAACCACGTGATACTATTAAAGAAAGGATGGCGTAGTGCTGTAATGAGAGAAATTCACATTGCGGGTTTTGTTGTTGTTGTTTGTTGTTGTTGTTGTTGTTGTTGTTGTTGTTGTTGTTGTTGTTGTTGTTGTTGTTGTTGTTGTTGTTGTTGTTGTTGTTGTTGTTGTTGTTGTTGTTGTTGTTGTTGTTGTTGTTGTTGTTGTTGTTGTTGTTGTTGTTGTTTTCAGCTACTGCCAGAGAACATGATAGCACTTTCTATGTTCCTGTTCTAAGCCTTGCTCAGGTTTGTCCCATATGATACTCATATTGGCTAGCATTATGTGGGGCATGTGCCCAGTTTTCTCCTATTAGGATACCCATATGGGTCGGCTCATGTACACGGTAGTTCCCACGTGGTCGTGCCCATGTTTTTCCTATCATCATACCCGTGTGGATCGGCCCGGGTAGTTCCCATGTAGTCGGAGCCTGCCCATGTTTTCCTCCACATGATAACCATGTGGGTAGGCCCAGGTAATTCCCATACCAGTGTGCCCAGGTTTGTCCCACCTGAAACCCATATGGGTCAGCCAAGGTAGTTCCCATGTAGAAGTGCCCTTGTTTTTCCCCTGTGACACCCATGTGGATTGGCCCAGGTAGTTCCCGTGTGGGCGTGCCCGCCTAGTCCCATTATGATAACCATGTAGATAGAGCGGCAGGTAATTCCCATGTAAGTGTGCTCAGGTTTGTCCTATCTGATGTGGATCAGCCCGTGTTGTCCCCAAGTGGTAGTGCCCAGGTTTGTTCTAATACGATACCCATATGGGCTAGCCCAAGTAGCTCCCATAGGTGTGCCCGTATTTTTCCCATATGTTACCCATGTTGATCGGCCCAGGTAGTTCCCATGTGAGTGTTCCCAGGTTTGTTCCATATGATTCCCACGTGAGACACGCCACGTAGTTCCCATATGGGTGTGTCCATATTGTTTTCATTTACTACCAGTGTGCATCGATTGGCCCAGGTATTTCCCATGTGGGTGTGTCCACGTTTCTACCATATGATACCCAAATGGGCTGGCCCCAGTAGTTCCTATGTGGGTGTGCCCATGTTTTTCCTATATGACACCCCTATGGGTCGGCCCATGTGGAATCTCATACGGGGTTTCCCAGAATTGACCCATATGAGACCCAAATGGGTCATCCCATGTAGATCTCGACTGGGAAATCCCATATGGGCCCTATATGGGATAAGCATAGGTTATCCCACTTTTCCAGATAACCCACGTCGCCCAGGTTTTTCCCATATGGGCCTCATATGGGCTTGCACCTGGGTTAAAGGAGAAACTGACAGCGATTTTTGCACTGAAACACTCTGAGGATTATTACAACCTTCCTTTCCAAAAGTAGCAGAAACGCAATTTTAAACGTTTATGTTGGGCCATTCCTCAGCATCACACACACACAATTTGTTGAAAAGAAAAAAATCATCAAGCCAGAAGGGCTTTTGGTAAAATTTTTTCCGAGGGGAGGGGGCTTACAGCATATCTTTATTGTAAGCAGTACCTTCAGTGAAATGCTGTATCCAGCCCCAACCCCCTACTGTCATCCTCTACTTTTGAAGTCCCACGGCAAGGCAATCGTTGGGGGAGGTCCCTTTATTCCAGCCCACAAACTTGGACAGTGGACTGTATCATTGGCACACACAGTTTTAGGACCAAGTGACTGAACACACTCAGCGTTTCCTTAAGATGGTGCATGTAACGTCCCGCTGGTACCTTCCTGTACACGCGACCCAGCCCTAGTGCCATAGTATAATAGTGGTCCGTCGTTCCCATGCAGATCCCTCTGGTAATGAAGAAGATGACCATGCTTGAACCACAGGATGTCTATGTGCGTGCAGTGCCAAGAAAGGACCAGTGAACACCCCTCAACTAGAATGTCAACTTCCGTTCTAGACTAGAACTCATGTTTGGTACTTGTAAGAGATTTCAAAAAGATTTCCAACGTGGAAGTTGTCTCTCCAATGGTGCCCCTTTTTACTTGTATTGTTGTAATTTTTTCTGTGCAAAAAAAAAGACAGTTGCTCTTGCAAATATTGCTTAATGAATTGATGGAAGTGTGTCATATTTCAAAAGCCGTCTTTGGAAAGCTGTCGTAGGTTTGGTTAGTATGAATAAAATATGGCCTTTTCCAAATTACTTTAACATGCCTTAAATCACTGCACGCGTGTTTTGGGCTGCTAGCCCAGCAACTTCACACATTCCCCCAAAACGCACACAGCAATGTAATTTGGGTTTTCTTCACAGCACCGTAAAGCAAACTATCCACCACCTGACCTGCAATATGCGATGGAATTTCCTTACTGCCACTTACAAGGGCGCATCGTCGCTTTAACGTTTTTAAGAGCTTTTTTTCGGCAGTATATTCTCACTTTTTTTAGTTCTCACATTTTCTCACTCTTTTAAAAAAGACGTTAGCTCACTAAGTTTTTCTTCCCTTTCCCAAGTCCTAAAGATGGACACGAATTCAAATTATACACGGTTGACACCTTCCTCTCAATGTTAACTTGACAGTATCCTTGAAAGTACATGAATGCATGCCTCCCTTATTCCCTAATACTGTACATTAGTTTTGATTTGTCCGTGGTACTCAACTATTATAGTGTATGATGTCACTCCACGAAAGTCCAAAAGGGAAAAAGAGTTCTAGTGCCCCTGTTACTTGAGTCATGGTCTGTGCTTCGACTGCGTATCGCCAAGAGTCCAATAAATCATTGGAAATAGTCATTTCAAAATAGTCGTCTCTTCTTTTCCGGGAGAAAGATTAAAATCCCCTCTTCCAAACTAAACAACTGTTCAAAAGAGCGCCTTCTTCGAATTGTACGCCCTCTAACTGGCGCATTACGGTGTAGGCTTAGTGCAAAAATGTAACTGTGATAATGTGACGGCACAACGCGACAATGCAACAGCCCTTTAGAGAAAGTACAAAAAAATATGCGACGCACGACGCAATGGCGCGATGGACAAGTAAAAATCGTCGTAGCTGCTGGCAGCTTATTATGCTGGTTTCTATGGACACTATGTCCTGCGTAAATTCTGGTAACGTTTCCATGGTTGGCCATCCAGCCTCACGGAAACCATACTGCAGTAGCTTCGGTTATCCTCTTTCAATGAGAGTAGAATGGGGAACTGTCTTACATCGAGTCAGGAGACTGAAATATGGTAATGATACGGCACATCACACCATAGAATTGAGAGGGGACTCCAAGAGGACCTGAACGCTTTTTTTCTCCCGTTGAACTGCACTACACAGGATACCCTCAAATTACAGTCAAATGAGACATAACTATAGTTTTAATAAATACTGTAATTATTACTCATTTTCGTTTGCAATAAAGTTTCAAAATACATAAAATTTGATGATGTAGTTCAGCATTGCCTAACACAAGTTACAATGTATAGGGCCCATCATTTTGTAGTCTGGTATTGGAGAGAAGACGATTTTTTTATTACTGTTTTCAAGAAAGTTTGTCTAAACATCATAAATAAAAACAGCCAAATAAAAAACCGTAGGTTTCATTGCTGGGAAAAACCATAACGTATATTATATTGCTTGAAATATTGTGTACACATTAAAAAACCTCTTTCGGCTTCACGATGCCGTCTTTTTTCCATTTCATTTTCAAGATAAGAAGACCAAACAGTATTTTGAGTTCTGCAAAGAGTATCGAAAATACAAGGTGTTTCCTAATTATCTTCAGAATTATTTCTCCACAATTAAGCTCATAAATACATCTTATATGACTATAGCTACAATGTAAGGTGGTTATTTCTGTGCCAACATCTCTTTACTAAGATAACTTGGGAATATCGTATTTTTGTTGCATTATATGCAACCCTGTAAGCAGGTTCAAATGAGTAGATAGTGGAGCATATATTTGGAGCTGTTGACCTCGAAGTTTTCAAAATTGCTTGAAAAAATGCGGTCAATCGGTTGCATAACGTTTGAAAGGAGTCATTGTCATGCTCTTTAATCGTTTTTAGTCATTATATGTACAGTATGTGATTATGATACACTCTCCTTAACATGCGCACTGGAATGGGTAAATTATATGGTACCCTATAGCCAGCTTGCACATAGTATTCGTGGTTTAATGAATCTTTCATTTCCATTAAATGCTTTTCCGGGTATCTAAATTCAGCTAGAAACAAAGTAATAATAGATTACAAGAATTCAGTGTACTACAATTAAACACTTATAACTTATAACCCAAAATATTATTTAGGCCAGCAGTGAGTTTTTCCTGTGTAGTTGAGAATCACAAGGCTAGAATAACGAATGGTGTGTGGAAACGAAGTGAAGAAGAAAATATTTCTCTAGTTGATATAGGGGAAAATGATGAGGGTGGAACGTCGTAATTTTAATTTGCTGTCAGTTTTATAAGCAGTTCCACTTGTTTGGAAGACATTTTAGGGGTAATTGCAGTAATCGAGACACTGTCGATAAATCCAAACAGCAGGCCATAGAGTGATTGACTCTGTCCCATGTCTGTTGAGGTGTTCTGAAGGCTTTGTGCACCAGTGTTTCATTTGTGGCTTGTACAACCCTTTTGGATGCTTTCTGGAAATTGAATGCCTTAATAAAGATGCTGAAACTTAGTTAAAAGAAGTGATTTGCAAACTGATGCACTTTTCGTAGGTCAGTGTTGTAGTCGAGTACTTTACGAGTACCAACGTTCTCTGCAAAATACTGAACTGGGTAAGAGGGAATAAAGCCAGAGTGCTTAGGCATTTGATGGTAAATGTGCAGAGGTAAGATTACAAAATAAATGTTAGACTTCAGACACTCCCAGTTGTGTAAAATTTAAGTTTTGAGGAGAAAAGTACTTAGACAGTACTCGGCCGAGTACTTTCCGAGTACTTTTGTCCTAAAAAGTTAATTTTAATCAATCAGAGATGGTCTGAAGTCATGATGTTGCTTTGTAATGTTACCTTTATATATGTACCATCAAATGCCGATGTGCTTCAGCTTTGTTCCCTTCTAACTAGTTAAATATTTGGTAGAGAACTTGGTTCTCAAAAATTACTCGACTACATCACTGTCGTAGGTTTTCAGACTCTTTGTTGGGTCTTTCTACCGCATCGTGTAAGAGTTCTGCTAGGGGAAGCTAAACAAATTCCTGACGTGATCTCAGTGTGTATGAAGTGAAACAATCGCCAAGCAGAGACTGCATTTAGGAGCACAATACGGTCGATTCACAAAAGTGCGCCTCCAAGAGTTTGCAACGCCTTGACCAATCACAGGGCCAGCAATCTGTCGACCCTTTTCAAACGCGCATTGGGTCGACAGATCTCGCGCACTGTAATTGGTCAACGCGCTGCAAACTCTTGGAGGCCCACTGTATAAAACGACCGTATTACGAAGAGCAACTTTGTGTGATCATTGCCCTGCTTTTGAATGGGTTGTTTCATTTCAAATGATAAACAGCGCCCAGATTCCTTTCAGCAAGTATAATGAGTCACAGGCATATTGTGCAACCCGACATCGCTCAATATGTTACTGATACATTGCATAATTAAATTCAAACGGAAGCACAATAATTGCTTTGTCATTGTTTTAAAGTTCCGTTTTAATACATGTAATTTACTAATTAAACAACTTGCCAAATTTGTTCTATGTACATTCTGATCTGTACCAATTATTTCATGGTCTCTAGCCGTATAATGTCTGTTATATTTCAAGTATTTACAAGAACAAAGAGCCTATGAATTGAATGGAGAATAAATTCCTACAATTGCATATACAGTACAGTCTATCTTTCCAAACACAGTCTGCAGTTTGTGTTCTGCAAAGCCATGTCCACAGTGGCGTATCCAGCTTTTGGTGTCAAAGGGGCATATTCAAAAGCGAATGTGGCTTCAAGCTCATTCAACATGATGTTGGGGGAATATCAAAAGCCTTACAGCCCGACAGCCCTGCTTTTAGTTCTTGGTCTTGTTTTGTTTGGTGCTCATGTTTGAAAAGTTAAGCATTTTGTATTACTAGTGATTTAAAATCGTGTGGGGGGAGTTGCCCCCCCCCACGGTGGACACCCTACTGCATGCCCCACATGATCACTAAGTCCTAATTGGGCTTGTTTCATGGATTTCGAATCAAATTTCGTACAACAGAGATTTGCACTGAACAAAATAGCGAACGCGAATTCGTGGGGCCACAAAAGTGTCCGACCTGCAAATTAAAAAAATAAAATTTCAAACTCATTTCAAGTTGAGCAAAATTTGGCTACGAATTTGATGTGATTCAAGCCAAGGAACTTTACGTTTCTGACTTCTCATTAATATGAGTGATTTTTGCCTGACGTACTCGAAGTAGCCGAAGTATCGAAAGGTTGATAGAAGGGATTATTCACCATACCTTCATCAGACTCACAATTCACTAACGAAGATCCTTGCGATTCGGTATCGTCTGTCACAACTGTTTGGGACATAATAGGGCATGCATGCTTGACTATTGCAAGACTGTCCTTTGAAGCTCGACTTTCACGCTCAACTAACGAAGATAATGTTTTTTGCCCCGTCAACATTGTCAAAAGGATGAGATCCTGTCTCAGATTCAGGCTTACTGTCACTTGAACATGGCTGGACAGTTTCGTACTGGACATCTGATTGACGATGCTCCTTAGCACTGTAGCGGAAGGGTTTCAGCAACAAATAAGTTTNCACTACCTCTCCGGACTGGCAATACGTCGTAAGAGGCAGATCCGATGGTTGAGTATCGATGCACCTCCAACGTGTCCCTTGGTGCTTGCACTGAGCGCACATTGACTGGCTCGTGCTCAGAAAAGTCAGAATACCTTGCGGCTGCCACTGGCACCCGCAGCTGGCAGTGGGTAACCGAGTACGGAACGACGACGGCGGCGTTCTGGAGATGTTCAACCGGTGCGCACGAGTTTGTCTTTGACTTCCTTTTGACAGCAGTTCTACCTCTCCTGTGCCTCTTCCGATGGAGAAAAACTACCGCCAACACGAAGAAAGTTGACACAAGGATTACCGGGATCACAACGGCTGTGAGGTTTTCAGGCGCAGTGCTCTGATTCACCACTGATATGGAGCAGATCCGCCTAACTCCTGAGAAGACCCCTGTACCAGAGACGGTGCAAACCAGGACCCGGTTCCGCAGATTCACTTTCTGAGTACAGATTTCGCTCCGCAGATGACCCCTTCCTTTGCCGTCCACGTAATGATTTGGAGTGGAGCCCTCCAGGACTCGTCCAGTGCCATGGGTTGTCCAGTTCATTGTCACTGGCGGGTTGCCTTGAGCCGTGTCACACGTAGGATAGTCATTCTCTATTGAACAGACAGGGTTGTCTCGTGGGAAAAACTTGACCGATACCGTCACGTTACCGAAGCTCACGCTAGTGCTATTCTTCCACGTAGCAACGCAAACGTACTTTCCGTCGTCCAAAGTGGACGTGTTTAGTATTGTTAATCTATACGTGAAATTGCTAGCATCTTCATACATTTCCATGGACACACGGGAGTCCTTTATTTTCACTTTTTTGTTTTTTGTCAGGATTATGTCGGACTCACCAAGCCTCTGCCAAACAACCTTATCTCGCTGATCTGCTTTCGATACGGAGCAGTTCATCGACAAAGTCTCTCCTTCTATCACGTCAATGTGTTCAATCGGTGGATCATCATTGGATTTGTTTAGTGTCAGAGCGCCGGTTTCCCGTAGGGCGTTAATAAGGTAAAAGAGATGCAGGAGGAAGGAGACCCACTGAGCCGCCCTAAGCAGTGGTAATGACCCAGTCGAGACCGCCATCATCATCACCATCATCAAGGCAGGTGGATCAATTCCTTACAGTAACTCGGATCATGAAGTCACGCTTTTCTGTGGAATGTATTTTGCCTTTGTAAGTTGGCTTACGACGATCCCCACAATGCTCTTTCGCATCAAATCCTGCCAGGCCAACGTGGGTGATTTATAACAGCTTTTGTGAAGGACGAGGTTGTTCAGACTGACTGGTGCAAAATCAAGCTAAAAAGCTGATTGGTTGGCAGCCGTGTATCCCTGCCAAATCACATGGTGATTTCGCCACTTCATTTTATGGGATGGATTTCCTGGAGGTTAACGGTTACTAAAATACCACACTCTCCCCTTTCCTGCTAGTGCCATACGATTTACAAATGATGTTTGCCGTGGTTTGGCTTTATATCCTGCAATACCAATGAGATATGTAGGCCTACTCAGTCATACGCTCAATGAACTCCACACCGGTTGAAGGCCTCAAATCTGAGCTTTACTCAGCGTAAATCATCTCGATGTTGTTTAGCTGTGAAACATTTCCTCTTTTCCAACATATTTTTCGTGCAATGGAGGTTCCACACTGCATTCTCAAGATCTCTGAGCTTGCAAAAAGAATTTAATTGAAACATCGATTTATTTGGACGGCCAGTTTGGGGGGTGAGGATATTTAAATTTCATCAAATTGTACCCAATTTCGATGGCTAAACAGATATATTAGTAAAGACTTGACACAATGAATTAAACAAACATACGAAGTTCAATTTTCGTTTCAGCGACAGAATTGTTTTCTTCTTCCTGGTTTCGTTTTGAAAACGATACAATAATTATACGACTGTAACAAACACAATGACATCCTGGTTTCGTTTTGAAAAGTGAAACACTTATCCCTTGATTTTGTAACAAACACAAGAAAGCAAAATGATATATATATTTTTTTAATAGTCCGACGCATCAACAGCAAAATTGCATGGCTACCACTATGCAGGCGAGTGATTTTGTGCCACGCGCATAAAGGCGGATGCCCTGTGGACCAAAAAAAGGGAACTGCCCTTGGAATGTAAGGCAGCATAGGACCGACTCT